GGGTTTCTCCAGTCTCTGTCAGGGCAGGAAGTCTGGTCTTTTTTTGTGAGTTAGAATTTTGTTCTACATTTTTCTCCAGCTCTGGCCAGGACACTCTGTTGGGATCCCCATCAGAGCAGTCAGTGGTGGTAGCCAGGCACCATCTAGTTGTACTGGACTCAGTCTGGTGGAGGCCGTGGTAGTTGTGGTCCATTAGTCCTTTGGACTAATCAGAAAGAAACATTTTTTGATGGTTACCAGGGATAGGAGGGGGAGGGAGGGAAAATCACTAACTAGAGAGTAGACACATGTTAACTTTGGTAAAGGAAAAGGCAGTACACAATATAGGGGAAGTCAGCACAACACGACCAAGGCAAGGGAAGACACTGAGAGGTATGCAAGAATAAAAGACAATGGTAAATACCATAACATATACAATCCTGCAACAACAGTAATAATAAACAATAATTTATGAGTGGATACATAGATATTACGTGGAATAGGTGTGGTAGGGTGTATGGGAGTATACCCATGTGCATGTATAGGTTTGGCTGTGGATATTTCTACATACATATTTGTATGTGCAGCATGTATATTCATATATTTAAAACAGAGCACACGGGGCACAGTCATGGAAACATTCTGGACATAACCATGTACCTCACGGGACTGAGTTACTGGTCGTGAAGGCTAAGGATCATAGTCCTGGGGAACATCTAGGTAAATTGGCATAACATACTTCATAAAGACAACGTTCTACATCCTACTATGGTGAGTAGTATCTGAGGTCTTAAAAGCTTGAGAGCAGCCATCTAAGATACAACTGCTGGTCTCTTTCTGCCTGGAGCAAAGGAGAGTGAAGAAAATCAAAGACTCAAGGAAACAATTAGTCCAAAGGATTAATGGACCACATGAACCACAGCCTCCACTAGCCTAAGCCCAGAAGAACTATATAGTACCCAGCTACCACTAACAACCGATCTGACCAGGATCACAACAGAAGGTCCCAGTTAGAGTGGGAAGAAAAAAATAACAAAATTCAAATTCATAAAAAAGACCAAATTTACTGGTCCAAAAGAGACTGAAGGAACCCCTGAGACTATGGCCCTTAGACACCCTTCTAACTTGGAACTGAAGCCATTCCTGAAGATCATCTTTCAGCAAAATAATAGACAGGCCTATAAAATAATAACACCCATGAGAAAAGTGCCCCTTGGAACAATCATCTATATGAGACCAAAAGGGCAACATCTACCCAAAAGCAAAGATGAGAAGGCAGGAAGGGGTAGGAAAACCTGACAAATGGAAATGGGTAACTTGGTAGTAATGGGGAGAGTGCTGACACACTGTGGGGACTGCAACCAATGTCACGGAACAATTTGTGTATAAATTATTGATTGAGAAACTTATTCGCTCTGTAAACCTTCACTTAAAGCACAATTAAAAGAATGGCCAAAATGGGGTGAGCAAATGGGTCAAACCCTGCTCCCTTCATTCTCCTCTTCTGCTCTTAGAGCCCACCCTGGCTCCCAACCTTACCAGATAAAATGGTTTCCAGGGCTGGGAACAAATTCAAACTTGGTGGAGATGCGGCCACTTTCATGCTGAAGGTACGAAGTCTCGACACTGAGGTGCTGAGTTCGGGTACTGTGACGGGTGAGCCAGCTAAGCAACCAAGCATAGCTCCTGTCTCGAGCAGGGACTTCCAATGTGATCATGTAATGGCGTCGGAATACCACCATGCCCAACTGGACGCCCTTCCGGGCCAGGGCAAGGGCTGTGCCCACACCCACCAGCCCAAATCCAGCCCCAAAATAGGGATTATCCTTCAGGGCCACAATAAAGTCTGAGAGGGGCATCTTGAAAGGGAACCACCGAACCTCACAGGCCCTGAGGCATTATCAAAACCTAGGGGTTGAGAGCAGTGGAAATGAGACAAAGCATAAGATTAGTTTAGAAACTGGACTCTGTAACTCCTAACCCAACCCACCCTACGCCCTCCTGTAGAGGGACAGGTCAGCACTACTGTGTGCTTCAATATCCTTCCTTTGTGGATGGGGGAGTTGGAATGCAAGAGCCAGAGAACTGAGACTCCAGGTCCCTTGCTCCAATTTGCCCTTCATTAGCCTGTTCATACCTCGGTTTCCTGTCAGAGGACGGTGTCTGGAGATTCCTTAAACCCGAGGGAGCAATGTAGCCAGCTTCACATCAGGATAATGGAAGGACAGAATTTTTGTGGTCCCTGAGACCAGCTGAGACAGAAAGGTGCCCAATGCCTGCAGTCAGCAGGGGGTGAAAGAGCTACTCTCTTCCACAACATGGCAGTAACCCCATGCCTTGAGTAAGGTCTTTCAAACATTCTCTCCCTTTCATGCCCGATTCCCCTTAACCTGTTTAGAACTTTATTACTTCTCATCTAAACTGTCTCTTAAAAATTGTTTAATTTTAGTTCAAAATGGCCTCTTAATGGGTCTCCACCTTCAGCTTCACCAAAATACTACACAGCGGGGATCAGCTCCAATCCTATCACTCGCCCTGCTCTAGTACCTCCAACGTCTCCCAACAGACCACTGAATTAGGTACGAACTCCTCAGTCTAGTACTCAAAGTTCTCTCCAAAACAGCGCCCACCTACCTTCCCTGGCTTAGCTTCTAATACTGTGTCCAAAAAAAAATGCAAACAACCTCCCACCTCCTTGCTCTTGCAGGTGTCTCAGCTCAGAATACCCGTTCTTCTTTATTCCCTCCATTCTCGCCAAATGAAAGAAATACTGTCCTTTTGGTACCTCCTCTATGGAGCCTTTGCTGAATTCCCCCAATAAATTGGGACCAGGTTTAATTCTAGGCCGTAAGATACCAAGCAGTAAAGGCCAAGTTGTTTCTAATATCCCGCCCTTCCTCCCCACTACCAACCCCTCGCGTGGCTCGCAGGGCGGTGAACTGACAGCAGCGACCTCGGCTGAGGCTCAGGGTTAGAATTCAGATTTCCAAAGCACCGCTGCATGGAAAGCCGCAGATAAAGCCCTCCCCACCCCCGACCCATGCTGGACCCTCAAAAGCCCCTTGCCGAGCACCCTCCAAACCCCAGCTTGCGCCTCCAGCAGCGTGGTTTGGAACGACCCGTCACTCCGCCCCCTTACCGCCATGACTCTCTGGCCCTCACTCTCGATGGTGTCACCTCCTCGTACTTGAGGGAAGCGCCGCTTGGCCCCGCCCCGACTTCTTCCCCTACTTCCTGCCACACCCACCAAGAAGGCCATGCCACTCTGCCCCACAACTCTCGATGGTACTCCTTGGGCGCCGAGGCCGGTGTAAGCGGGAAAGGAAACCATAGAAGAAAAACCATAGAGTACCCCGCCAGCCGCCGCGAGGAAGAAAGAGTGGCCTTCATGCGCCCGGTGTCCTAGAGGCAGCTGGGCCAGAGGCGGTCGCACAAAGGGAGCACGGGGCGACCGCTCCAGCCGCTGGTCGACCATAGAGATGCGGCTCCCGCCGGCTCTGGGCCGGGAGGTGAGTGAGTGGCTGCAGGGTGGGCAGCGCAAGGCGATGCGGGTGGAGCGAACCCTAGGCAAAAGTTTCTTGAGCCCGAGAATGAGAGTGGGCCTGGGCGGGGGGAACCCGCGGAAGGAGGTGTTGAAGGGAGCACGCCGAGGAGCGGGGCCCCGGCGCCTCAGCCGTGCCACAGCTCTGGACCACTCCTGGGTACCTGCTGCCTCCTCAGGACCGTAATCCGTCCTAAGCCTTGCAGGTTATAAAACACCTTTCCCATTCGTCGGTTCTTCTGATCCCCGCTCCCGCCCGACGATGTGGATGCTGTCACCGTTTCCACTTTTACAGATGGAAAAACTGAGGCCCAGAGAAGCGAAGTGACTGTTTACCCAAGGCCACATGGTGAGTCAGAGCCTGAAGGCAGGTGGGAACCCGGGTGCATCGGTCCCCAGGCCAGGAATTTTTCTTTCTCACTGCCTTAAATTGCCCTTTCTCTTCTTCCTTGCCCTTACCCCAGTAATAAGCTCATCTCTTCTCTTGTGTCCACCTCTCTCTTGCCACACCTCGCCTCCTAGACGATGAAGGTTCTCGATCTAGACGGCATCGCGTCCTCTTTGGCTTCTCTCTGAGGCCATGTAGGGCCAAACGGGAAGGTCCCTCAGAGCGGATATAAGAGTAAATGAAGGCTGTGGTTTGCAGAGAATCCCTCTAATCGCAGAAGGGCACTTCCCTTTGATGGGAGATTTTGAGTGGCAGGATTCTGGAGAACAGGGAATATCAGATTGCAGGGTCTTGGTTTCTTTTTTAATGCATGTTGCTTCTGACCTGCAAACTGATTTCATCCTAGCGCTAAATCTTTACTGACCTTCCATGACACAATTTCATGAAGTGATTACTGTCATTACTCTTGTTATGAATTATTCAGCTTAAACTCGTTTTAGGCATGTCTAACAGGATATGCAGTTTAACCGCCATTCATTTCTCAGATGTATTCCAGTGTTTAGTTTAGGCCATAGTCCAGTCAATGAGTTTGAAATTTCTCCAGATGTATTACTTTATATATAAGGAACCACTTGGTTACCAAGATACCTCGTTTTACTCTGATGAATCTCTACAGTTGTTCTACAGTTCTTCATTAGAATCACCCTATTTGTCTAAACTTGCAGGGGTTGTTGGTGGTTTGTGTTCAGTGAAGTAATGTTAATAAGCTCTGCTTTAAAAAAAGCTCCACTTAAGAAGCTCAGAGTCTAAGGAGGGAAACTGATAGGAAAACAACAGTGCAGTGTGACATAGTCTGTGGTAGCACCATGTACAAAGAGTTGTTAGGACCACAGAAGAGAGAAAACAACATTAGTTAAGAAGCCTTCATAGTGGAAGTGACATTTGTGCAGATTCTTAAAGGGTAAAGTTGGGAAGGCAGGTGAAAGAAGGAGAGGATGAAAATGCACATCAGGCCAAGTGAGAGGCATGTGCCAAGGTGTGGAGAATTTCGCGAGTCTAAAGAATGGCAAATTGTTTGGTGTAGCTGGTTTAGAGACTCGTTGAGGGGAGAAGTGGAAGTTGAGTCTGGAAGGGTCGATAGAGGCCAGATCATGAAGGGCCTTATAGACCTGATAAGGAAAGGTGAGATCATAAAATGTTAAGAGAGAAAGGGACTTCAGAGATCCTTCCCGCCCCCTACCCCCCTAGTTTTGTTGCAGATGAGAAAACTAAGACCCAAATTGTTTCATGATTTGCCCAAGGTCACTTAGCTAAGTGGCAGCAGAGCAAGAAACACAACTTGTAGTCTTTAATATCTTGGCCAGGATTTGTTGGCTCTTTCCCCATATTGACCCTGTTTAATACCATTTATATTCTTTTTTGTTCTCAGTGTAGTCATAAAAAGAAAATCTCTCTTTAGGTTAATAAGGTACAACATGAACTGCCTAAGTTGGCAGGCACTGGGCTGTATATCCACACCAGCTGGGAAGAAAGCAGACCTCTAACTCTTTGTTTTTGTTTTTCTGCTGGTTGGCTTATCAGCACTCATGAAGCCACAGCACTGAAATCAGTGGTGATGACAGACCCTGTTTTCGACTCACAGCCAGCCAACAGCACTGGGGAGATGGATGGACTGTGCTCTGAACTATTGCTGATCCCCCAACCTCTCTCTAACTGTGGAATCCTGGAGCCTGTTCAGAGCCCCTGCCCCTCTGGGAACCCCACACCTCTGCCTACTGACCCAAGCTGCTTGCTGGTAGAGGCCACAGCAACTGAAGAGGGCGCAGGGAACATGGAGATCATTGTGGAAGCAGTAGCTGGAAACCTATCCCCAGATGCTCCTGGAGATGCCCAAGGTACAAATACAGTTGCTAGAGGCCAGTAGAACAAGCAGCCCGGAGGATTTGTCTATGCTATTTTTGATCTTTCTGTATAAATATGAGAACGCAGGGCAGCATCCTATTTTTATACTTTGAGATGTTGTAATTTGGTTTGTAGCTGGTGAATGTTGACTGAAGGCTGGCAAGGTGATGCACAGCCTTGTACCAAGCTCTTGGCAGAGTCTGTTCCTGGTGAGGGCTCAGGATGGGCTTCACGTCTGCTAGGCAGTAATCCAGAGAGGAAAATCTTTCTGACACCTCTGGCCAATCCTAGCTTCTTTTTACTCCTATATTCTCCAGGAATTCTTTCTCCCATATTGGTCCTCCCACCCAGGAACTGCAGCCAGGGATTGGGCAAAAGGCCCAGGCTCTCTTCCACCACCTGGAGTTGGCAGTGTTTTCCAGAGGTAATCTGGTACATATTTTCCTGCCCTAGTTTCTCATGCATAACATGCGTAACTCATCCAAGCATGCTGTTAAGAGTGGCAGTTGAGCATTTGTATTTATCCTAGGAGAAGGAGTCTTCCTTTTATTCTTCCCATACTTATAATCTCTTATTTTTAGGAAACTTCTGTGTTTTCAACTGCCATCCTCTGGCTAGTTGTCACCACTCTCTTTGGCAGTATAGTGTAGTGACAAAGAATACTGGGAAAGCTTAGCTAGACTTCTGTGCGTGGTGAAAGAAACCATAAAAAAAATGAAGAGTCTGGGGAAAATATTTGCAATATACAAGAAATAGTTACTTTCTTTAACATTCAGAGTTCCACAATAAGAAAAAGGAAAAGAATTAAAATAAATTTAAAAAAAGGAAAAAGAAATGTACATGCAATTCTTTCATTTCTAACGAAGAAATAAAAATGGTCAGTAACCATATGGAACGATGCTTAACCTCCTTAACACACAAATAAATTCTAGTTAAAAATCACTATGAGCTGCCATTTTTGCCTATCAATTTTGAGAAAAATTAAACATATTTTAAAATACTTAGTGTTGTTAGAATGTGGGGAAACAGACACTATCTTACAGTGCTTTTGGAGAGTGTAGATTATTATAATCTTTTGAAGGTCAATTTAGCTGCTTACCAAATTTTAAAATATGCATACTGTTTGACCTAGTAATTTGACTTCTAGGAATCTCTCCTATACAGAGACTTATACACACGTACAAGGATACGGATATGCAGGGCAGCTTTGTTTGTAATGATTTGAAACAACCCAGATGTTCACCAGTAAGGGCAAAATTTTGTTATGATTTGTCCATGCTCTAAAGTACCATGAACTGGACAGAAAAATAGAGGAAGATGTAAATGTACTCATAGATAAAAATATTTTTGATATATAGCAAGTGAAAAAAAACAAATAGCAGAACAATGACAACATTGTTTGACCTTGCGCCCCCCTCCCCCCGCTTTTTTTGTATTTTCTTTTTTTTAACCAAAACCCTGTGTATAGCTATATGCATGGAGCCTGTGTCTGCACAAGAAAAGGCCTGGAAGGATACAAACCAAACTGTGTATTGGGGGAAGAATGAGCTTAGTCTTTCTTTTTATACTTCTGTATCATTTGAGTTTATTGCAATGAATGATTATGTATTTTTTTTAACAACAAAAAAATAATAATAAAGAAGAGGGGAAAAAAAAGCCACTGTCTTCGAGTCGATTTTGACTCATAGCGACCCTACAGGATAGAGTAGAACTACCCCATAGTTTCCAAGGCCGTAAATCTTTACAGAAGCAAACTGCCACATCTTTCTCCTGCGGAGTGGCTGCTGGGTTCGAACCACCGACCTTTGGTTAGCAGATGAGCATTTTAACCACTGCACCACCGGAGCTCCTCATAAAGAGGAAAACAACCAGGAAAATAAATGAATAAATGAATCATGGTTCCACCATTAACATGCATGATGGCCTTTACCACTCAGAATCTCAGAATCTTCTCATCAGGCTGTTGGGAGGACCACATGAGTGTTTCCCAAGGCTTTACCAAGGTCCTGCACATTGCTCAAGAATAGCAGTGATTATTATGAAGGTGATTCAGCTCTCCTCAAAAGAGATGTTCTCCATTTTATGAATGCTTGTGCCTTTGAAACATGGAATACTCATCCCAGTCTCCCTGAGTTGTTTCTTCTCTAATTTGGCTCATGTGCTGAATTTCTCCTCTCTAACTTGATCTTGTAGTATCTGGCATGTAGTGAATGCTCAGTTAATGTTAGATCTTTCTCTCTTTCTTACTGCTGCCATCCTTCTTCAGCTCTTCTGCTCCTTTTGTAAGTTTCCTCTAGTCCCCTTTCCGATTTTGATGTCCTCTTTAAGGTACAGAGCCCAGAACCAAACACAGGCCTGCCTGGGGCCTCGCTGGAAAGCGTGGGAGAATCATG